TTATAAGACTGAATTGCAGATTACCTCTTTTGTTTGTTAAACATTGAGAGTCAACATCATTTGGGGGAAAATGCCTGATTTTTGTAATCATGTTTTGGGCCAGGAGCAGAAACCTGGGGAGTCATGAAGTTTTCTGATTATCTTTCCTTGTATTATTGCAGGCTATCAAATTAAAAAGAGAGGCATAAAGGAGTTCCACGGTTTTAATAAAATAATAAAACTAAGACATCACTTTCACTGAAGTTTTCATTTATTAGAACAAAGTTTTTTAACCTATAACCTAATTCCTGGCGACTGGAAAATAAGGAAGAGGTTGATGAACCTGATGAGATTCACGAATTATTATATACATTGTTTTTTCTCAGGGAGAGAACAAGAAATTCAAGGGGATGAGATCACCTGAGAAGGTGACACAGGCTTTGCGTATGAGAGAAAAAAATTCACATCAAGCAGTTTACCTCCAGAGCACACATGTTACCCTATCACAGTATGGCACCTCTCTTGGAATTATACAGGTTGTACAATGGAAACTCTTAAATTGACATTTGTAAGTTTTCCTGTAGCATTACCCTGGCTTCTGCTGAATATTTCACACAGAAAGGTTGCATTTTCTGTGTTTCAAAATATAGAACCACAGCTGGCTGCCCTAGCATAGCTGCCCTCCTCTTAGATCCAGCTAGCAACTGCAATGAACCTTCTCCAGGATGGTTCGGTTTAGCTCATTGTTGCGTGGGGTATCAACCCAGGAAGACCCCACTGAAGGAAGTAATTGGCTAGACCTTTCTTCCATGGCATTCCTAGGTCCAAACTTTTATCCAACCTAATCATTGATTACAAGGAAATGTTTGCCCAGAGACAACGTTCAGAAAGCATGAATGGATAAGAAAGGGAAATCGAAAGGAAATGGAAATTGGGATGAGAGGTGCTACCTAGTGAGGAATACAATCAATGACACGCAACGAACTACATAGGAATTGTTGAATGTAAATCTGATTTACTTTGCAATGTTGTTGTGGTTAAGTGCCATTGCGTTGGTTCCCACCCATAGCAGCCCTAACTACAAAAAAAACAAAGCTCCGCCTGACCCTGGGCCATCCTCACAACTGTCCTGTGTTTGAGCCCACTGTGCCAGCCACTGTGTCCATCTGTCATGTCCAGGGTCTTCCTCTTTTTCACTGCTTTCCCTTTTCTACCACGCATGGCATCTTTCTCCCAGGACTGTTCTCTCTGACATGGAATCTGCTGTGTGAGATGTTTAGTGTTTATTATCAGCACTAGAGATAGAAAACATAGGAAGTCACACTGAGAGAGAAGTTCAAAGGAGAACCATTTTTAACAAAAGTCAGCCTATCTGAGGTCCCGAGGGAATACCGAAGGTGGACTTTGGGGCCAGGGCTTGGTGCCCCTACAGACTGGACTAGAAAACACTCCTAAAGGCCAACACACATTCCTTGAACTGACTACAAGCTTTTCTTTCTTTTGTGTTTCGTTTTGGTTTGTTTTGTCATTGGTTTTTTGTTGTTTTGTTGTATATTGTTGCTTGGTTTTGCTCTGTCTTGTTTTTGTGCATGTTATTATCTCCACAGGGCTGTCTCAATAAGATAGGCTGGATGAACAATCTGGAGGAGAAAACAATGGGACAGAAAATTCCAGGGGGACATAGGAGAGGAGGAGGTCGGGAAAAGGTAGTGGTGTTAACAAACTCAGGGAAAAGGGAACAATAAGTGATCCAAATCGGTGGTGAGGACGGTGTAGGAGGCCTGGTCGGGTGTGATCAAGGGTAATGTAACCAAGAGGAATTACTGAAACCCAAATGAAG